GCAGCAGGAGGTCACCTGCAGCAGCAGCAGCAGCAGCAGCAGCAGCAGCAGCAGCGGCAGCAGCGGCAGCTGCAGCAGCAGCAGCAGTAACAGCAGCAGCAGGAAGAGCTTTCTATTGCAGTTAAAAACAATAAAATAATTTATTTTATTTTTTTATTTATTTATGCATGCGAAGACAGAAGCAGCAGCAGCCGTGCTGCAGCACTCTGCTGCTTGTGCTTGCTTTCCTCTGGTCTGCTGCTGCTGCTGCTGCTGCTGCTGTTGCTGCTGCTGCTGCTGCTGCTGCTGCTGCTGCTAGTTGTTTATTCAGGGGAGAAAGACACACAAAGCCCCCGCTTTCTGCTGCTTATTTATTTTCTTTTGTTTATAAATACTCTTCTTAGTAACCCCAAACCCTAAACCCTAAACCCTAAACCCTAAACCCTAAACCCTCGATTCCAGCTCATTGCGGGGTCACCTCCAACTCAACTCCCACTAACCCTAAACCCTAAACCCTAAACCCTAAACCCTAAAAAACCCTAAACCCTAGTACCCCTCAAACCCAAAACCCTAAACTATAACAAACAATAAACCCTAAAAAAACCCTAAACCCTAAACCCTAAACCCTAGACAGGGGGCAGCAGCTAAAAATATTATACTGCCGCTTGATCGCTCCCTAGGATCTCAAACCCTAAACCCTAAACCCTAAACCCTAAACCCTAGGCCTCTTACACAGCCTGCAACTGACTCTTTAAGAGACAATAAACCCTAAACACAAACACCCAATAGCAGCAGCAGCAGCAACAGCAGCAGCAGCAGCAACAGCAGCAGCAGCAGCAGCAGCAAATATATAAGTATATATTAATGCATTTATATAAATTCGTTTTCTGTTGCGCTGATACTTCCGTTTGTTCTCTCAACAAAACAGAAGCAGCAGCTGCTGCTGCTGCAGCAGCAGCAGCTGCAGCAGCAGGAGCTGTTTGTCTCCTTGTATATCTACAGCTTTTGCTGCTGGGGTGTATGCACACCTCAGCAAGGAGACAAAAGAGCCCCACTAACACTGTTGCTGTTGCTGCTGCTGCTGCTGCTGCTGTTGCTGCTGTTGCTGCTGCTGCTGCTGCTGCTGCTGCTGCTGTGTAATTGGTGTATGCTGGGGTTTGCGAGCCCCATCATTTGCTGCTGCTGCTTTTCACTTTTGCTGCAGCAGCACATGCTGCAGCTGCCGTTGCTGCTGCTGTTGTTGCTGCTGCTGCTGCTGTTGCTGCTGCTGCTGCTGCTGCTGCTGCTGCTGCTGCT